AATATGAATGTTGGTATGATTATGAACTTGAATGTGAATGTTTTGTTAGCTTTTTTATTCAACCCCATGTGCTTTAATCACTTTTAATGAAGCTGGACAAACGACACAATTCCAGTAAACATTCAAAAAATCATTCACTGATGAATTAATCATAAATCCCTCCAACTTTACAATGGTACCCTACACATTTAAATGGTAACAACTTTTGTCTAGTGTTTTTTTTTTTAAGAAATAGTCTTATAAATGGAAAACTCTTCAAAAATTCAAATGAAAGTGTCTATAATACTGGTCATATGGGGGGAGGTGATTGGGGCATTGCTTGCTGATGTGTATAAAGTTAATACGCTTTTTAAAACAAATGGCTTGATGGCTTCACTTTTTCAGTGGCTCTATGTCAGTTTAACATCTCACAAACTATTGCTTCTGTGTTTACAATAAAAATCTATTGTTTCCTGGTTCATTATTTTAGCTGTTTTACTGAATTTTATGTGAATGCAGCTCTATGATCTGAGGAAACAGAACATGTAAAATGTATCTTTGTGGAGAGAATTGAGTGAGCTGAGGATACGTGTATGACTCAAGGGCACCATGCAGACTGGGGGGGCAAAAAGTAATTCCTTATCTGGACTGAACCCACAAGCTATCATTCATCATGCTATCAATAACCAGAATTAAATATTCTTTGTATATCTACACATTTAAATGGTAACAACTTTTGTCTAGTGTTTTTTTTTTTTTTAAGAAATAGTCTTATAAATGGAAAACTCTTCAAAAATTCAAATGAAAGTGTCTATAATACTGGTCATATGGGGGGAGGTGATTGGGGCATTGCTTGCTGATGTGTATAAAGTTAATACGCTTTTTAAAACAGATGGCTTGATGGCTTCACTTTTTCAGTGGCTCTATGTCAGTTTAACATCTCACAAACTATTGCTTCTGTGTTTACAATAAAAATCTATTGTTTCCTGGTTCATTATTTTAGCTGTTTTACTGAATTTTATGTGAATGCAGCTCTATGATCTGAGGAAACAGAACATGTAAAATGTATCTTTGTGGAGAGAATTGAGTGAGCTGAGGATACGTGTATGACTCAAGGGCACCATGCAGACTGGGGGGGCAAAAAGTAATTCCTTATCTGGACTGAACCCACAAGCTATCATTCATCATGCTATCAATAACCAGAATTAAATATTCTTTGTATAGAGATCTGATCTCATTCTATGAGCTCAGCTCTTTTAGCACAATATCTGTACTTTAGGGTGTGACATGGCTGCAGAGGTTTTCCTGGAGCACTGATGCCATCTAGAGGATGGAGTCAGTAACACATTATACACTTCAGAAATGAAACTTCCCTAAACTTTTGCCAAATTGCAGACTTTCCACTTAACACGAGAAGCAGATGCCCAGTTTAAATCCAACAAATATACTGTCTAGAAGACTCGAAAATTAATAAATGAATTGTTTTAGTATTATTGACTTGAAATGACAACTTATATAGAGGCCACTATTTAAAAAAAATATATATGCATAAAAGTTTTATTTGGATATTTACAAAGTACTACAAAAATCAGACGATAACAGCTTTTTTTTTTTTTTTTTTACACTCTCTCTTTCACACAAAACAAGCACATGCAGTACGCTGAATTCACACATACTCTCCACAGTTGGAAATTATGACTTTCTGTTTGGTTTTGCCTTCTTTTGTTCCCTGAGCCTGAGGAAACAGTACAAATACAAAGCATTAGAAAACAGGACAAAAAAGTAACCAGAATAATTGTATTCAGAAAAAATGCATCAAAAGTAACAGTAAATATTTTTATAATGCACTAAAAGATTTCCATTTCAAATGCTGCTCTTTTGAACTTTCTATTTATCAAAGAATCATTAAAAAATATCCATAACTGTTTTCAACTTTGATAAATAAGAATAAATGTTTCTTGAACAGCAAATAAGCATACTGGAAAGCTTTCTGTAGGATCATGTGACACTGAAGACAGGAGTAATGACTGCTGAAAATTCAGCTTTGCCATCACAGGAATTAATTAAATTTTAAATATATTAAAATAGAAAACGGTTATTTCAAATTGTTAAAGATATTTCACAATATTACTATCAAATAAATACAGCCTTGGTGAGTAGAAGAGACTTCTTTCAAAAACATTTAACCACAACCTCTTGAACAGTAGTGTAAAACAGTCACTTGTGATTGCAAATCTAACCTCCCTCAGTTAGCAACTCACCTCCATGGCCCGGAGTACATCCATGCCCTCTATGAGCTCTCCGAACACCACATGTTTGCCATCCAGCCAGTCTGTTTTATCGACAGTGATGAAGAACTGCGAGCCGTTAGAATTGGGACCAGAGTTTGCCATTGACAGCTGACCTATGAGCACACAGCAAAACAACATGAGACCAGTCTTCATTTCAGATCAACATCAACAAATACACTTACTGATCCTTATTTAATATTCAGTTCAAACAATCTTACAAAACAAACACACACACACACACACACACACACTTCTCTCAAACTGAAGACTCGTCTCACCTGGTTCTGTGTGCTTGAGGACAAAGTTCTCATCATCAAACTTGCGTCCATATATGGACTTCCCCCCGGTGCCGTTGTGGTTGGTAAAATCTCCACCTTGGCACATAAACTGAGGAATAATGCGGTGGAAGCTGCTGCCCTTGAATCCAAAGCCTTTCTCATGCGTGCACAAACAACGGAAATTTTCTACAGGAGAACAAACGAACAAAACAGCTGTGATGTCCTGAGACATGTCGCAATGAAACAAAAGTAGCGACAGATATTTTCTTCCATATTGTGAAGTACACCCGAGCAAAACGGATTCTCGAAAAAGAAAAAAGGAGGAGCCTCTAAAGCTGCTTAACTGATTCTGACCTGCAGTCATGGGCACAACGTCCGCTCGCAGGAGGAAGCGCAGCTGGCCTGCAGGTTTGTTGCCGATCTTGATGTCCATGTAGACCTGTGGGTTATTTCTGCCTTTTTTCACTGGAGGTTCTCCCTGCTCAGGAACACAAAATGATACAGCTCAGAAAATAAAATCTAAAACAGAACATCAGACCCTTAGCAGAAATAAACAGCTATACCAAAATGACAATTTATCAGGCATTATCATTTTATACTAAAACCAACCAATTATATTACAACTTTCCCACCTCCTGTGTATTTGTACTGGCTGATTCTGCGGCTGACTCCGCCTCCTCGCTCTCCTCAACAGTCTTCCCTGAGAACTTCTTCAGCCAGTCATCTTCAGACCACACTATGAGCAAAGCAGCAAAGAAACATACATTTACGTTTCATGAGCATGCAAGTAATGAGTTAACACGGCATAATCACTAAGAGTAACAGAAAGACAAGCAGGAAACCAAAAATCCCTCACCTGGTCGAGAGGAGCCCTCTTTAATTCTCATGGGTTTGGCGATGTTCACCCGGATGGTTCTGCCGAACAGCTCCGACTCATTCTGCAGAACACAAAGCCGAACAGACATTATCCTGGACTCTTGCAGTGCACATTCTGACAGTGTTGGATTTTATGAGACCACAGAAGTGAGTGGTTCAATAACTCACCATGTTATCGATGGCAGCTGCTGCATCCTGGAGAAAAAGCAGAAAGTAATTTAACAAATTGACACAGGTGAATTCAGGCGGTTTCATCTTTTACTATAGCGTCAAACAAACCAGTCATGCAATGGTGGTTTGTGCAAACTATAGGGAGCTAATGAGGAGCAACGTCAACTCATTTTAATTGAGTCGATGATACCGGTATATTCCATTTTAATTAAAGAGGGATTTAGCAGGTATTCACCTCTGCCAGTTCAAACTCGATGAATGCAAAGCCCCTGTGCTTCTCTGTGGACAGAAAGAGTAAGACATAATGTGTGTTGTTTTGTTAAAGCCGTAAAACTGTTTCTGTATTAAAGTGCGTTTTTGAGTAGAAATAATAATTGGATTGTATTTTGTGTATATTTATGTGCGTTTGTCACCTGTCTCATAATCCAACGGGATCTGAATATCTGTTATGTCACCAAAGGGAATGAAAGCAGCGTGCAACACTTTCTCGTCCACCTCCTCCGCAAGACCACCTGAGAAAAACAGGACCGTTTATTTGACTTATTATAATATTTCATTTTCAACGCACCGAACGTTCAATTCAAGCACATATTTCATGTTCTGGTGTTTTCCCGGATACAGCTGGTAACCGGAATCGCATCACTACCATGCATATGGCTGTGGGATTAAATTAGTGCACTTTGAGAGCGAAGCGATTGTTATTTTGAGTTATAATTTTGATGTTTTTCTTACCGATATAAAGAACACGTTTAGTCGCCGCCATCTTCCCTTTTGACTCTTGTCTTCTTCGCCACCTCGAGACAGCGTGTCGCCCTCTAATGTTGCGGAGGCCAAATAACATTACAGAAATGCACAAATCCTTTGTTCAGCTGAGGATTAACAGCAGTACTGTTGGTTGGTTAGTTAGTTAGTTAGTTAGTTGTATTTTCCCTGCTAAGTGAACAGATGTATTTTACTCCTTGGAAAATCATGTAAAACCATGTATAATTTTTAATGAAAAACTATGTTTCATTTCCAGTCACAGTTGTAAACGGTGGGAAACCATATGTATGTATATGTTATTTAAATAGGACCATCTTTAGTGTTCATTGATTTATATGATTTATATCTTGATAATGCAATAGACCAATTAAATATGGTAGCTGTATTTGTAAGAGCTTTTATGGAGCTTTGACACAGACATCATCCTTCAGAGGATGCAAACTGGAATTAAATGTGACTAGTCCCAGGTAAAGGTGAAATGGGATGTTATGAACACTTCTGTTATTATTGGGCCCTTGAGCAGAAAATGTAACCTTTAAAGGGACTGTTCCTGTACTGCAAGTCACTTTGGATAAAGAGTGTCTGTAAAATGACCTTTGTCTCTACTTAAAAATTAAGAAGACGACGACGACAATATATTTCATTTTAAATAGTCATCCCTTTATTTAGAGTGACACACCACTCGGGTTATTGTCATGGGACAAGTGAGGTCCAATCAAAGCAGCAAACACACAGCTCACAGAAGAACCAAGTTTCCCACTTCCTCATAGAAAACGTCAGTCCTGGCCACAATACAGAGGCTCTTCCTTCACAGAACTGCCTCTTTTTAAATTTAACTTTAGGTGATAAAAATTATTACAGAGTTAAAAATATAAGCCCTGCAACAAATTTGTATTCTTTATGTTCAAGTATCATTTTGTATTTTTCTTTTTTTTCCATGTTTTATTTTTTGTGTTCTTATTGGTTGCCACCAGACGACACGAGACAGTGGTGATCTCTCTTCAGTCTTTCAGCTTCACCCTGCAGAAAACAATTTCAAATGAAAACAATTTAGTTTTGGAAATAAATAGCCTGGTCATTATAACAAGCACTGCAATTATAATACTACTGATAATAAGAAACGTTACTTGTCATGATGTTGCGGCTACAGTCACAGCGGTGACTCCCACTTTCTGTGTGGCATCTTTCTTGGCCTGGTGAGCCTGAAGCACTGCGACAGCCTCCTCCACCTGACAACAGACACAAATCATCAGTCCTGCAATCCCCAAACCATCTTCACCACAGAGATTCATGCCTCTAATAAGCAGTTCACTTCTAAAATGCCACTGTCATATCTAAATTACATCTCAGGAACAGTCTTTGCTAGGCGAAGCATAAATCCTAATAAATGAGTGCACAATATTATGTCCCTGGTCCAGTCAATAGGCTTTGCATTGTTAAAAGCTTGTGACTCTTTACCCATTATTGCACAAAACAGCAGAGCTAGTGTCTGTTACTGGAGGCTTTTATCATAGTTAACGGCTGTCACCTTGGAGCGCAGAGACTCATGGGACTCCAGCATGTGCAGCAGCTCAGAGTTGTCGATCTCAAGCAGCATTCCTGTGATCTTCCCGGCTAGACTGGGGTGCATTGCCTGGATGAGAGGAAACAACCGCTCACCTGAGAGAAAAGAGAATGGGCTCATTTAAGACAGACAATAAACAATTAGAGATAGCTACAGGGAAGAATAAAATAAGAAAGTAATTAAAGGGATAGTCCAGGGTGCGAACTACGGGGGAGCTAGGGGGAGCTCGGCTCCCCTTAATAAGACATGGGCTCCCCTGAAAACGTGATATATGAAGTTTTGGGGGGTCTCAAAAAATATTGACAGTGTTATTTTGACGTGCAATTTCAGTTTTGTGTAATGTGATCAATGTGGATTATTATGTGTATAATTGCAAAAATATCATTAATTTATGCATGACGGCGATTTAAACCTAATTCACTTCAATAAAGATACCTACACATGCTATTCTTGTCATTCTTGTCAAGGTGTGGGGCGCTGCGGTGCAAATTCCACTCATGTTTAGTACATGTTAACTCAAAGATTCGTAGAAAAAATGTAAATGTTGGACTCTGTGGTCGATTCTGTGTTAAGGTAAGGCATGTTATTCGCAATTATGTGTTGTGGCTGGGTTGTTATAGGTCTCCGTGACTCTCGATATCTTAGGTCAAATTGAACGAAGGAAATATGGTATTCTTCTGTAGCCAGACGACGAGTAACTTTAACCATTGTTCATGTGAACTCAAGTTGATGCTTTGTTTATAGACTATTTGTGGGTGGCTGTTTGTTGTTTCACCTATCAATTCGTGTCGATAGTCCACCACAATTTTTGTTCCAAGAGATCAAAAATTTGTTCCAAAGTTGTTCCAAGGGTGCGCAAAAGTATTTTAATTTTTGGGTGAACTAGTCTATCACATAGAACTCTAATGCACAAAAATGTCCTCGGGAGTATAAGAATATGTTTAGAAAGGCTGAACATGCTTACAGCCTCCTCATCTCACCAAGCATCTGTTTCTGTTCCTGAGGAGGAGCGGCAGCTAACATGGAGGCAGTATTCGTGTCGATAGTCCACCACAATTTCTGTTCCAAGAGATTAAAAATTTGTTCCAAAGTTGTTCCAAGGGTGCGCAAAAGTATTTTAATTTTTGGGTGAACTAGTCTATCACATAGAACTCTAATGCACAAACATGTCCTCGGGAGTATAAGAATATGTTTAGAAAGGCTGAACATGCTTACAGCCTCCTCATCTCACCAAGCATCTGTTTCTGTTCCTGAGGAGGAGCGGCAGCTAACATGGAGGCAGTGAGAGGCTCCTGACCCTGCACGTGAACAGCTGGCTGAGCCTGCAGAAGACAGTAAACCACAAAATTATAATTTGATTGTGTTTTTCAAATCTATATCTTAATTCTAGCAGTGCACAATATTAATATTCTGTCCAGAAAAGTCAATAATTGTAAAGTTTTGGAAGATAACTGATTAATTTCCCTGATTAAGGGGACCTTACTGATTAAGGTCCCCGGTGCATCTACCAACCAAGGAAACGTGAAAAAGATTAACCCAGTAACTTTGTTTTGGTAAGCCTTTTTCTGCAAGCGTCTGAGAAAACGAGAGCGTCAGATTTCGCTCCCTTGGTGACGTGGCCCGAAAAACAGCGTGTTCCTGCTTCCACTCAAAATAGGCATTTTCAAAATAATATAATAAATGATCTGTGGAGTATTTTGAGCTAAAACTTCAGACACATTCTGGGGACACCAGAGACTTATATTACACATTGTAAAAAGGGGCATAATATGTTTCCTTTAAGTTATTAGTGTTTTTAAAGATACGATACCTATATATTGTGCAACTCTACTTAATTCATTTACCATGCTCTCTAACATATCTTTGAACTTTACCCATATGACTGTTCTTAACATGGCAATGTTTTATGACAAAAAATGTATTCTATTCCTGTTTATAACTAAAATTAGACACGTTTTACCTTTCTGATTAAATATGTATCAGTGAATTAAATATACAATCCATAACATCAGAAACAGAACAACTGGACAACTAGAATTACTGACTCAAAGTTGTAGTTTTTATTTACGTGCAGTATATGACTGCATATTACCTGTTGCAGAGTAATAGGCTGCACGACCTGAGGATGAGTGTTTCGTACGGCAGTGGCATACTTGTATGGGGGCATGGCACGTGGGGTCATCACCCCCATGGCAGGGCGGGGACCCATTGGTTGGTTACTGCCTCCTAGTTGTAGAAAGAGGTAAATAACATTAAAGCTATGGCCAGGACAGAATGATCACCAAACTCACTTGCTGTAATCAATAAATGTGTAGTCTGTGGTGTTATTCAATGGAATTACATGATCAGGTAAATACCAATAGATATACATTATTATTAAAAGAAACTAAAACCTGAATCATAATCTATGTCACCATTAACCAACTATACTAAATATAATTTGATGTGATAGTGGACATTTTTTAGGTGTCTGGGTCTGGAAAACAGGTCAAAGTTTGTCACAACAGGGCATCACATCAGTAGTGGGTGGGTTTTCTCACCCACTCTCTGTGCACCTGTGGGGATCCCGCGTGGGCTTTGGGTGGAAGCACTGGGAGCCATGTGGCGTATGTTGGCACGGGGCCCTGGTTGGCGCAAGGAGCTGGGCATGCCCTGGAAGCCACCCTGACCTCTGCCACCCTGCTGCTGCCAGCGAGGGTTTGGGCGCATCTGGGTGAGCTGGTTTGGTGCATAGTATGTTGTTCTGTTCTGGGCCTGTGATGCATTAGAAGGAAACAAAAGATATAATCGGAAAGTTTATTAATCATTGAATGGAACATTTTACTACTTCAGAGCCCTTATTTATTTATTGCTTTATAATCTATATATTTATTGATATACAATGAAGTCCAATTCAGCCAGAAAAGAAAATAATGCTTTGGTGAATAATTATGACATAAAAGTCATATTTGTGGGAAGTCGAAATTATGAGATAAAAGGTCAAAATTATGATATACTAAGTCATCACTATGACATTAGCTGAACTTATGAGTAAAAGTGAAAATTGTGGAATAAACCGATGAGATAAAAATTCTACTTTTGTGATTATGAATTATGAATTAGTATGTTATAATTATGATTTTCAATGCCATTATTTTTTTACTTTTTGTGCCACAATTATGACTTTCTATCTCATAATTATGACTTAATATCTCATAATTTTTATCACAATTTTTACTTTTTATTTCATAATTATAACTTCGTATCTCATAAGTTTGACTTTTTATGTGATAATTATGACTTTCTATCTCACAATTATGACTTTTTATCTCACAATTTTGACTTTTTATGTAATTATTTGATTTAGTATAATAATTTTGACTGGGTATCTCATAATGTTTTTAATTTTATGTCATAATTATGATTTACCAAAGATGATTTTTTTTCTTCTATGGTGGAAATGGCCTTCCATAATATAACAGCGAGGTCTTACTTTCTATCTCATAATTATGACTTAATATCTCATAATTTTTATCACAATTTTTACTTTTTATTTCATAATTATAACTTTGTATCTCATAAGTTTGACTTTTTATGTGATAATTATGACTTTCTATCTCACAATTATGACTTTTTATCTCACAATTTTGACTTTTTATGTAATTATTTGATTTAGTATAATCATTTTGACTGGGTATCTCATAATGTTTTTAATTTTATGTCATAATTATGATTTACCAAAGATGATTTTTTTTTCTTCTATGGTGGAAATGGCCTTCCATAATATAACAGCGAGGTCTCGAAAAAAATAATTAAAATATTTAAATTAAATTTTTTCTTTTATAAACTATAATATGTTTCCAGGTTTAAATGGGGTTTAAATCCCATGTTGAGCCTTTGAATCTGATTGGTCAACAAACTTTCAGTCAAATTTCTATAACATTAGTGATTGCCAACTACACACTATCCTTATCAATCAACAAATCAATGGACCTGCTTCCTGTCACATGACCCTGCTTGGACACTCACACCTTGCGGTCGTTCAGCAACATGCCATTCATCTTCTCGATGGCGCGGTCAGCTGCGTCCTGAGTTTCAAAATGCACAAAGGCGTAACCCTTAGATCCGTTCTCGTCACACACCACCTGTTGAGATGGCATGGCAAGAATCGGATTACAGAGTGTTTTTCTTATGCAGCTGAACTACCACAGCTTCTCTGATGTGTGAACTAATCCACTATTTATTGCTTGAATAGAGAAACTATTAAAGAAAAAGAAACTAAATATAGAAACACCTTCCTCCGTGACTATATATTGTGAGCATAACTAAAAAAAGAATTTCAGACTGCTTGTCTGAACAGCATTATTTTTTTTAAATGTTTGCCACTAATGACACAGAAAATCACCTTTTGCCTTTAAGAAACAAATAAATGTTGTACATCCAAATAGTTATACAACATGGCAAGAGCCAGATATTAGGCTAAGACTGTGGTTCTCAACCTTTCTGACTGGGAAAATTGATAATAATGAACCACAATTCAGTTTGTGATTGCAGACATTTCAAGAACTGTATGTTCAAAGAAAATTGAGGGGGGACTGAAGAAGAAAAAAAGAAATACTATTGTATGTTTTTTTGTTTTGTTTTTTACTTTTCTGTTAAGTTAGAATATTTTAATACATTAAAAATCATATTAATTCACCTCAGTTTTGACTAGATGTGTAGTTACTGTGTTTTGGCTTTGGAGGGCAGCCCAGTACATAAATATAATTAATGTATTAATTTCAGCTTCTGAAGATCTAAAAGTCACCTTGCAGGACAGGATGTTTCCGAAAGCAGAAAAGGTGTCGTATAGGGCCTTGTTGTCAATGGACTTGTCCAGATTTTTGATGAAGACGTTTCCAACCCCGGACTTCCTAAGTGACGGATCTCTTTGTGACCACATGATTCTGATCGGCTTTCCTTTGACCACATCAAAGTTCATTGTGTCCAAAGCTCTCTCCGCTGAAACCACAAAAACATGAGACATAAGACATCTCTGCTCTTCTACCTCAGCACCTAAATTACTAACAATTACTAGAGAGTTCAAACTTGTCATAACCAACATAAGTCTCTGAATTAATGATGAATTATATATTTCAATCCATAGAGTGAGCATGTTCAGCTACTCAAACATATTATCCTCAACAAGCTTGAAACTTGAAAGCCCCATGAAACTGTACTCAAATATTCCCTGATGATACACAGAGATATCTATTTGACGTCTGCATTTACATCTACAAAATATATATTTTTAGAGTTCATCTGCAATATGTCTATAGGACGTTTCCTATCAGATGTCAAATAGACGTTTAGAAGATGTCTTTAAGATGTTTATGATTTAGAATGTACGTAAAACTGACGTCTGAAAGACGTCTATCAGATGATTGTACACAGCAGATGCTTTCCAGATGAAGACGATCTTGCAGACGTATGTGAGCTGTCTGGGTTACATGTAAACATTACATGTTAGGTCTACTGCCCAGATATGTTAAGATGATTAGAACGTATATTTATAAGAATTTCCATGTTTTAAAACATAGACTGAAACACACACACACACACACAAAACAATTAGAATTTAAGCTAAATGTCTCTCATTATTTGTATGACCTGGCAGCACAACAAAGCAGAACTCCAGGGACATATCATTAGATCCATACCAGGTCTCAGAAAACATTTTTTTCAGACCTCAAAATAGTACCGAACCTACCAAATTTAACCTTCACTGATATTTATATATATTTATTCCACAATCCATATCTTCATAGTCTTACCAGTACTCTGTATACTGTTGCTATATATGAAGATTAAATACATATTTATGACTGGATTAAATACATATTTATGTCTGGCAAAGTCTGAAGACTCAAACAGATGAATATTAGATTTAAGATTTGTCAGAAGCTTTTTGAAATTACTTTCTAATCAAACTGATGGCATATGAGAGACCAGCCACCTATTGTAATACATTATGATGGGTTTCTCTCTCTCTCTTTTAAACATCATAGCCCTCCCCCCGACACACACTAAGCATTAAGCACTAAAAATGTCTGGTGAACAAAATGGAGCAGCCTTGTGTCTGCTGCCCTCAGCAGTTTGCAGTGTGATTGTTTTGAACATGGAGCTCAGAGCTGGTGGGATCACCCAGAGAGAGAGAGAGAGAGAGAGCGAGAGAGAGAGAGACCACTGCGAATAACAACTTTCAGCAAGCACAGGACAGTATAAACAACCTTTTTTACCATCAGTGTAGCAGTTTCTGGTTTGAAGCAAAACTTTCATTTATATTTTAACTCATTTAGGATACGCATGCACTGACAGAATATAGCTGTCAAATTAATAGACAATATCAGTAGTAAGCCGTCATCACTGAATAAGCAGAAGCATGGCATGGCTGCCCTATGAATTTGCCTGTCAGCTTGTTTCTTCACACACCTTTCAGAAAAGACAGGCACAGTGCAGGCAGCCCTCACTGACTCTATATTTAGCAGTGTTGGGTCCTTTGAGCAATGTGCTGGCAGGCAGCATGTGTTCAAGGCTCTGTGTCCATGATGGGGCTGAAACACTGGAATGTGTGTGGATGAAGATTACCAGTGCCGGCAACTGTTTACAAATGCAGCTGTTACATGCTGAAGACCAAACCATGTGCTTGAGCACATTTGCTGAGCATATGCGTGCTGTAAACTACTATTGTACTGACACAATGTGCAAAAACAATCTAAAGCCTCGTTACACTTCCAGATGTACATCCTACAGTGGTCACCAACCACTTTTGTCTCTTATATGTAAACATGTTGACTTTCAGTTGCCATTCTGAGTTACTAAATGGAGGTGAGCGAGTTCAACTCTGACCTTTTAACCTTTGTGCTGTGAAAGAGGAGGGAGGAATCAAGCATGAGTTGTTTACGAAGCATTTAGCACAGGACACAGATATTTCAGATTCATCTTTCTGTTGAACAAATTACATTTAAAATACATAAAAATATATAACAGTTATTTTAAACTGTAATATTTCACAATATTAGTGTTTTTACTGAATTTCTGATCAAATAAATGCAGCCTTGGTGAGCATAAGAGACTTCTTTAAAAAAACTTAAAAATCACTGACTCCACACTTTTGAACGGTAGTATATATTTGTTCATTATGTATTACATAATTTGTGCTGGTTGAACAAACAAATATTTACCAAAATGTCTCAAATAAATGATGAATTCAGCAAGGAATGAAAAAACGTATTTAGTATGAGGCTTAAAAGTTGTAAAACTGTGCAGATTACTTGAAAATGTAGGAAAGGGAACAAAAACAAACAAATGAACACTTAGGCTGATGATACACAGGGCAACTTTTTGAGCAATTTTGCCGGGCAACTTTTTTTGAGCAATGTTGCTTGGGCACTTTCCTATTGAGAATGGGTAACAAATTTCTATCTGGATACTTTAGATCGGTTGTGGGCCCTGTGTCTCACCTGGTTGCCCATTGATGGCAACATTGCCCAAAATTGCCCTGCAATTTTTTTGCTCAAAAAGTTGCCCCATGTATCATCAGCCTTACTGTCTCATTATTAGATTGAATCATTAGATTCATAGAAACAAAGCTGAAAGTGCTTCACAATTGTATTATCCCCTCCTGACACTTTAAATAGCACAAATAGGTCATGCCAAGTTGCAAAATGTGGGCTAACACACTCTCTCTCACACACACACACACACACACAGACACACACACACACACACAAACAAGCATCGTTCCCCTTGATATACCTAGTGTTCTTTACAGAGCTAAAACATGGAAGTATCCTAATGATCAGGTTTGCTTCTATCTAGAATGTCTCATATAAGGTTTATAGATGTACGACACTCTCACTATATGTGGGTCAAGCAGAACATTCAATTCTAGTCTAGTTCTTTATTCTGATTATGGGTTATAATTGAGACTGCTTGGCTCTATTGAGTGTTGAGCTTTTTAAAATAAAATTTTCCAAAGCTTTTCCATTTTTTTTCAGACAGAATATGAACAGAATGCATGAAAGTTTTTCATGAAAACTCTGGATGTGTTTCAAGAATGGACAAGGCTAGGCAAGCTCAACAGAACAAAATATCAGTCCTCCACAGGGTGCATGGCATCAGTGATTCATACATACATGCCATGCTGCATACTCAACCTTTGTATCACTAAGTGAAGATATTATTTCAGGACAAGTGAAATGATACAGCATGATACAGTAGTTGTACAGCAATCTGATTTAATATAATTTAATATTTGTAACTTTGAAATGCAATTCATTTTATTTGTATGGTGTTTTTCACAACACATTTAGTGCCTTATTTAGTGCCTTACAAATCCCTGGGTGAGCAAACCAAGCCTGATAATGGGATACTGAAATTAACCAGTATCAATTTGATGTTAATAGTAGGTTAATGATTAATAACACAGGATAGAATATTTTAGAATACTTTTTTATCCAAAGCGTCTTACATTGCATTCAAGGTATCAAACCTGGGAATCAAACCTATGACCTTGCTATTACTTGCGCCATGCTTGAGCTACAGGAATGTAGACATTAGGGTTGGGCCGATAGACGATGCCATCGTCCATCGCCGATGGCTGACAGACATCACAATGTTGAGCCGGCATCATGATCCACCCCCCATACCCCCCCGCAATCCACCGCATCCCAATTCTGTGTTCAGAAAGGATATTAAGTGTACTACAGAACCCCTAGAGGGAATAAATAGCCTTCGAGATGGGAGGATAAAAAAATATTTCAATACTTTCTCTCACAGTTATATTGTTGGGTAATTATACTGTATATAAACTGCGGGCATCAGGGAGCCACTACTAATATGCAGGGCATTGAAACCGCTTTTGATTGCAAGCTCTCATTTTACCTTCACTTTCACTTTCGAGATTCGCGATCACACGGACTCTATACTACGGAGCGGCAGTACTGGTAGGTAGGCTACTGCACTACCACACATTTTACAAGATTAGCTATTTGTCAGTGGTACTCAGTATCTGCATATCATTAGCAGATGCCCCCCCCCCC